TTGCACCTCACTGGAGCTTTGGAAATAGACTGGAGTAACTGAATCCCAGATGTGGAATTGAACAAGTTCACATCTGCTCAGTCCTGGATAAATGAAAGTCTGTTCTGAATTATTGCAAGTCCGTCTCAGATCCAATACAAAGCTTATGCAGATAGCCCACTGAAAAGAATTTGGCTGAGTATTCTGAAGATACATGAAATTATGTAGAAACTTTAAAATCTTAAAAGGTAAGTATAAAAGTAATAAATCAATGTCAGCTTTACCAGTGCATATGAAGATAATTTAGTGTGGAACTCCTATAAACAGCCACTGATAATGATCAGTGTGGCTGCAAATAATTTCAGCAGTTTACACTAAAGTGAACCTAAACTTATTCCAATTTTGTTTCTTCAGAAGTGTCACGAAAATATGCTGATGCTGTTACTGTATTATCACCTTGATTCTAGGATGGCTTGAGTAAAATTTGCTAAGAGATTGCTAGAGGAAATTGCTAAATAATTTAAGCAGCTCTTCACTAATATGGGTGTAAAAATTTATAATTTTGGAATTTGTGGAGATGGAAATCTGTTAATTTAGGAAACTACTACCTCTTTTGCTACCAGGTATTAAGTTGAACAAAGTTTTGGTGGCATATGATGTCTGGGGGGTGGGGTGGGGTGGGGTGGAATCAATCTTACAGATATTTGCACTCCTTTAAATAAAAGAATGTAGCACATGCAAATATATCATCATAAAAGAAACCAAGGGGAAAAAATTAAGGTTTTTTAAAAAATCCCCCAAATCACTACAACTGCATTTGTAGAGAAAGGGAACAAAAGACCTGTGACAAAAATCCCAAAACTTCCATTCAATCAACGGTACAATATCAACATTCAAGGCCTACAGAAGTGTGTGTGTTTGCATACTGTGCTCTCTTTCTTGTTTGTTTACTTATATGATTTATCCCCACCTCAATCAGGAGGATCTTAGGCAATTTACAGATAATAAAACAATAATAAATAGTAATTTACAACAGTAATAATTATAATACATTAACTAAGCACTGAAGGCTCCAAGGCCTCTCAGAGAAGCCAGCTTTTACTTGCTTATAGAAGGCCACAAGAATAGGAGCCATCTTTACTTCAGGGGGCAGCCTGTTCTCCCCATAGGAGGGGAGCTCCAAGAGTGCCTGAATCTGAGCCCTCTCCCACTGCACCTCCTGGTCATTGGCAACCCTCAGCAAGTACTCTTTGACTATTCAGGTCACGTATTTTCTTAGATACCCAGATCTTGAGCGAAATAAGCCTTTCAAGGTAGTGAACAAGACCTTTGAATTGTGCTTAAAAACACATCAGTAAGCTCCCACATCAATAATGTAATGTGGCAGCGTCATATTTATCTAGCAAGCTTGTAGGCTGCTGCCTTCTGGATCAGCTTGAAGGTGATAATCCAGGACAACCCCATGTAGAGCAAACTACACTAATGTAACAGAGATAAGGGCCTGACTAACCTATTCCTATTCCAGGTAAGGTTGCACACAGGTGCCCCAGCCAAAGTGGGCAAAAGCCCTCCTGGCCATGGTTTCCACTTGCTCCTTCAGAAAAAGCTGAGAGTCCCAGAGATTCCCCAATAGCACAACCGCAACAAAAGTCAAAGGGGATACAATCCTGGAATCAGTAAACTGCTGAATTAATGGCCATTCCATGCTGCTTGGACTGAGTCTGTTTTTCCTCATCTAAACCCCAACTGAGTCAGGACTTCAACCACATGTCTCAGCTGGCTAAAGATGGAGATGTACAACTGAGTATCAGCATATTTATATCTCACCTCAAAATGAGAGCTAACTCCCAACAGTTTCATTAAAAGTTAAATAGAGTAGGTCAGGAGAAAAAAACAACCCTCTGGCACCCAATAACAAAGCCTGTAGGCCCAACCGATTCACCCACTACTATCACCAACTTAACTCACCCATTCAACAGCAGAACTAACTAAAATGATGGCTCCAATTTCTAAGCTTCACAGGTGGTTCAGAAATTACACACACACATGCATATTTCTCATGTTTAAACACATTTCTTTTATTCCTAGAATAAAAAATAAATTACTCTCTACCTTAAATTATTCAGATGCACATAGGAAAAAATGGTAAATTTAAGAGGCAACCTAAACTTTATTGTAAACCTGGTGGAATTAAAGTTTGTTACTACATTTTCCTGGATTTTTGCAGACTGGAAATGATATAAAATAAATAGTCCCTTTGATCCCACAGAATTCTTCCCATATCAACTATTAAAAACAACAGTATTCAATGCATTCTTAACTTCCAGTCCACATTATTCTCAAAATATACCTCAGAGGTTCTGCAGTTGATTACAAAATGAAAGAAAAGAGAAAGGAAGCTCTCACACTGCACTTTTGAACTGGATTATGTCTGGCTATCCTTGAAAAACATACTGGGAGTTCAAGTTAAGGACATGTTGAAGCTTACACAAGCATTTATTTTACTTTTAAAAACACATCGATCCTACTCATACCTTACTTTTTTAATATGTCTTATTAAGAAGGTTCTTGGATATACCTGAAATAGAATAAATCTAAGAGCCAATGTTGCTGAGAATTAGGGTTTGAAGAAAAGATTTTGGTCTTTTTAACCTAGACTGGAGGTCAGTGGATCCAGTTTTCTTGATTGTAGAGATCAGGAAGAAAAGAAAGCATGGTCTTTCCCTAATGGAGAAAATAATTTTTAAGTCCTTTGTAACTTTTAAGTTGTAGATGGCAATGGTGAAATCTATGTTACTGTTCCTATGCTGATCACAATAATACATGTTTACAGGCCTTACAAATAATTACAATCTTTTGTAAAGCAGTTCACCATCAGAAAAGTTCTACTTGCTTGTTCTTTGAATGGAGGATGTCTCACACAAAGACAGTCTACATATATTAACCTGTAATATATATTGGAAAGCTGATGATTCCACAGCTTGGAATGCCTGTTCCATAACAACGTAATTCTACAGAATTATTACACTGAATACATTTTTACTTGGGCTTTATGTAATACATGCCATTTTTCTCCTAATCCATACAACTTGGTGTTTCTTTCCTGCTGCATCCCTCTATTTCAAAAGTGAAAAATTTACCCCAGGTGGAAAAAAGCAAAACAGAAACATGAAAAAATCCAGTTTTAGGCCAATTGAAACATTATATATGCATATATATATATGCATTTTCTTTCCGCAGCTAAATAAATACAATAAGTAGTGAACTTAGTTAAATGTCCAAAGTCCAAAAGCGGAATGTAATATATTTTATTTTGCTTTGCTTTGAAAAATTACAGCTTTATGCATATATCTTGTACTTTTTATGCAGCACTTAGTGGTCTCACATCTAGTTTGTTGACCTGAGCTATAGCCATTTCATTTCAGTAAAGCAATAGTATTAAGTAGTTCATTGACCCCAAATTTGCATCTCAGTCTTATGCACAGTTGGCCACTGATTTCAGTGAGTTAAAATGTACTTCAACCGATAGGACTGGATTGCAGACTTGGACTTTTCTTTATTATTGTATATCTTTCCAGTAATACTACAAAGGCAATATAATGTGATGGTGTACAATTCTTTTGCAAATGAAGAAAGGTCTTGTCTTGTCACTACACCTCTGTGGCATAATCGCTTCTTCCAATGTGTGCGATCAGGGCATTCAGAACTGTAATAACATGATGCCTGGTAGGCAACAGGTTCCTTGTTAAATCACTCAATGTTCTATCAAACTCTCAACTTCCCATTGCTTTTATATTTCTGGAAGGGGGTGGGATCTACATGCATTTACATCTAACACCCATGCAGGGCACTGAATCCCAAAGACCCTATCATTACATATCTTTGCAAATGTGTGCACAGTGCACATCCATGCAACATGCAAACACCCAGCTCCTTCCCTTGGCACACTTGTGTTGCTGTGGATGCAAAACTGGGCTGCCACATTTCCCCTATTTCCTATTTTCTTTCCTATATCCCACACAAATATCAAACATATTTCAGAAAGATAAAACATGTTTGTTTGTCATTTCAAAGCAAACAATTCTAGGTCACTTTAAAGATCAAGATACGTATTGTGAATAAACATTTATGTGCGCTACTCAAAAATACTGTGGTAAATTTATAATTGTGTAAGCTGCCACAGGACCTAAACTTTTGTGTTCTCACTAGTTTACTACAAACATTACAGTCTACTGGCCTTGATTTTAACTATCATAACCAAACTTTTTGCAATATTCTTTCATTTCACAAGTGTCTACAGTAATTAACTGAACACAACTTTTTTTAGCATCACATGGGGTAAGGATAACTTTTCATCTATTTTTATATATATATATATATATCTATCTATATATATATATGTATGTATATAACAAAATAAATTAAGTTTTTTCTTACATAATTATGGTCCAGAATTAAAGAGGTCATAAAAATAAATAAATACAAGATTTTTATGCCAAGGTATGTTAAAATTAAAACTGGCTCAGAACAAAACGAAGTAGTGCTATATGCAGACTTGTTAAAATTCTTGTATCAAGCACTTTTAAAATGTGACAACCTATTAACCCATGTATGCCCACAATGAAAAAAAAAATAGAAAGTTAAGTCTGGCAAAATCCTTCCCCCATATACCCATACTGTTTTTATTGGATATTTAGAATTGTATCATTCAACCCTGGAAAGAAAGTAGGAATTAGAAAAGCCACTTTGAAAAAAAATTGTGCTATATCTAAAAAATAAATGACATTTCAGAAATATGGGGAAGTTTTTGAACTCAAGGAGCAAAATTGTAAAATATCTCCCATAGACAGTACACATTTCAGTCTAGAGGTTTATCAGCATACGCTAAACACCATCTTTTAGTAATAGTTTTCCATTATATGGATATTTAACTACCTAAGGGAATCAGTGTTTACTTCAAACCATATTGAACTATTTACTTACGGTAAAATTATAATGTTGCTTTCCTACCTTTGGCACAGCAACTTTATAGGAGAAATAGATCAATATCCTGTCTATTGCCATAAATGGAGAATTTTACCCTGCAGTCTGTCTTGTTTGGTGAAAAGAGTTTTCTACTTTATTTTTATTTAAGATACTTGTGTTTTCTATTGTAAGAGCCACAAAACATAAATGACATAGCTTGAATAAGTGCATGCATGTATATTAGAGATTCTTAGTTACATAAAACTAGTTGTAAAAAGGTGCAACCAAAAATGCCATCTTATACCCAACAGAATGATAAAAGGTAAGAAAAGAGCAAGAGATATGCTGCTGCAGACATCAAAATGCAGCACAAGAAAACACCACCACTAATGAGAAGGAGTATCTTCCATGCACGCTGGAAGAGTCAGCTTTAGATGTAAACTGGTTGTTCCTGTGCAGTCAAGAGTCTGTACATGGCAGCTGGCATGGTCTTCATGTGAATCTGGAAGAAAGAAAGGACTATTCAGCGGGTGTTCCATCCAGAATAATCAAAGGGGCTGGGCAATTTGGGTTGGGTCAAGAGTACAATAGCGCCAGTATTTTCCATCCAAAAGAGGATGATATATACATTTGATAGCAATATACAATGTACAATATCATCTGTTAGCTAGCATGCTAGTATAAGCCTATAAATAAAAGTTCCATTCAATATTTAGATTAATGCTAAATATGTGAATATATGTTAAAATGGGATATTAAACAGCAACTCACACTTTAGTCCAAAATACACTGTTTATATGCCCATTTCAGAAGTCAGCATATTAAATCATTGGTTGTAAAGTTAAATGAGAAAATAACAAATCATAGCTAAACAATATGCTCTGGGGGGGGGGAGAGGGGGCTTCATCTTTCCCTCTATATAATGAAAGCTGTTATTCCAATTTTATAGAACTTTTCCAAAGTGACCATGGCCTAATTGAAGCTACCATTGCATATTTGTGGGGAGGAGGGGCTGGGGGGAGAGGAGAGGAAGTCAGTATTAATTCCCCCTCACCCTTCTAGCACCCATTGTCCCACTGGGAACTTCAGGGGAAAGAGGAATTGGTCCCCCTTTCTTCCAGCAGTATCTTCCATGAGTTCTATTCATAGGAATTCAGAATCCAGTATTTTATTTTCATCCACAAATGAAATGTTCAAAGAAAGAAGAAAAACTAGGCAGATGTGTATGACAGAAGGGTATGTTGTTTGGAAGTTCACACAAGTGTAAATGCTACATTGTTAGTATAAGCCACCACTAGGCTAAGTAGGTCTTCCTTCCAAATAAGCCTACAAATGATAGGGATGCCCAGAGTATCAACTAATGCTGATATGCAATATGGAGGAGTCAGCATCTTAGTTACAGCTGTCATTACTCTCTTCAGACTTGGAATAGTGGTGCTTAAAAGTTTGTGAACTCTTTCGAATTTTCAATATTTCTGCATAAATACAGGTAGTCCTTGTTTAATGATACTAATAGGGACTGGAAACTCTGTTGTTAAGCGGTGCAGTTGTAAGTTGAAAAACCATGTGACTGCATTATTTAGGGACGGCAGTTCCTGCAGTCCCAGTTGCCATCATTAAGCAAGGACTGTGGTCATTAAGTGAGGACCTCATGTGACCGCAACTTCCAACTTCCTGATGACTTTCCCATTGACTTTGCTTGTGGGAAGCCTGCATAGAAAGTCGTAAATTGTGATGACTTTGGGATACTGTGACAGCCATACATACAAGGTCTAGTTGTAACTACGAATCGTTCAGAGCCATCATAAGTTTGAATGGTCTCTGAATGAGTGGCCATTAAACAAGGACCACCAGTATGATCTAAAACATGATCTGTTCTCCACACAAGTCCTAAAACTAGATAAAGAGAACATAATTAAACAAATGAGTCAAAAACATCATACTTGTTCAAAAGGGTTCACAAACTTTCAAGCACCACTGTAAGACCCATTGCATTATGGGTCTAATTTTAAAAAAAATATTTAAGAATAATCCATTTGTTTCCTTCACCTTTCATGCCCTCTTCTAGTTCATAAACGACTGAAATAGAAAATGGCAGTTGCACTAGTGTAACTCACTTTAAATTTAGGTGTAATCCAGATAGGCTGAAGACTTATTGGTGTAGTGACGGGCATATTAGACTAATTAGGCTGAAATTCCTAGTCAGAATTTTCATTTGGTTACCTTATCACTCAGCTAGAATTACCATATATATTCGTGGATAAGCCCATCTGGGGATAAAAAGTATTATCATATATACTTACAGATAAGTTCACCTGTGGATAAGCAGAACCCAATTTTCTGGGTGCATTTTGGCACCTAAAATTCTTGGCTTATCCACGAGTATATATGGTACTTCAGGACTCTGAGATGTGTAGAAGAGCTAAGCAGCTTGGAAGAAAGTGATATAATCTTTGTTTGTATCCAGCAACACAGCTGTGAAGAATACGACAGCCTCAGTCAAAATTACAACACTACTGTCTGTATTAAAGAGTGTCCTACTTATGCTGACCAGCATTTTAATGTGTGGCAACAATAATGCAGCCAAGCCATTGGAGACTGATGGATGCCAGCTCTTACCTCACCAACAGCATTTGAGAGAACATGAACAATCTTTTCATGAGGTGTTGCTACAACACTTTGTCCATTTATTTCAATAATTCGGTGACCCACTCGGACTCCTCCTCGTTCTGCAATCCCTCCTCTCATAAGACTACAGATCTGGAAAGACATATGGAACTAACATCACACAAGCATCGAAAATGTACAATGGCAGATTGTTCAATAAGGCCAAGGATCAATTTGCACATGCACGATTACCAATTTGGTGCAGTGGTTAAGGTGCTGGCCTAGAAACCAGGAGACTGTGAGTTCTAGTCCTGCCTTAGGCATGAAAGCCGGCTGGTTGACCTTGGGCAGTCCCTTTCTCTCAGCCCAACCCACCTAACAGGGTTGTTGGTGTGGGGAAAATAGGAGGAGGAAGGAATATTAGGTATGTTTGTTGCCTTGAGTTGAATGAATAGATAAAAACATAACAACAACAACAACGATGCTGATGTTATCATACTCAGTATTCTCATTACTTGAGAATGCTTTAACTGGAGGCATTTAAAAGAAAT